ATGGAAATTATAGTTAGGAATAAGCCCCTAAAAAGTGGAACAGAAGGAATATAACCAAAAAATGCTAAATGACCGTGTTAAATGTAGAGCATATTACTTAGCTGTCCTACATACAGCTGTCCTGCATACAGTAGACATATATATTCATGGGCATGAAACAGATGATCATCAAAATTATATCCCTTAATTCCTATCCTCCACACTCCTTCAAAATCCTAAATTGTAGCATAAACCTGCCTGGTGAATCTCCTACTCTGGGTGTAACAGTAGAAGATCATGTTACCAAATGCCCAGATACTGTATCTGATCTCTACTGCAGGGGAGATTCAGTCAGCCTCAGTTTCTAAATGCCCAAGGATTTGAGCATGTGATATGCCACTGTGGGATTTCAGAGAAACAGATTTTCCAGCCAAGGTAACTGCTTTGTGACTGTCTCTACTATTCTGAATGTCTCTATGATTTGCCCCGAACAGGGCAAAAGGCATCTGAGGAGTTCTCTACAGGTGGGCAGGAGCTGGAGCCATCTTTTATGCATCTCGTGATATTTATGCAACAGAGTAGGTGTCTGAGTGCAGACAGTCATCATGGGGTTTATTTACTAAAGCTGGAGAGTCCAAAATCAGACTCCCTTCTGCATAGAAACCAATCAGCTTCTAACCTCAGCTTGTTCAATGAAGCTTTGGCAATAAAACCTGGAAGCTGATTGGTTTCTATGCAGAAGTGAGTCTGATTTTGGACTCTCCAGCTTTAGTAAATAAACCCCCATTTGTCTGTATTGCACCAGTCTTTTCACATGCTGATCCAACTGACACAGGTTTGATGGGGCATTTGAGCGGTACTATTGTTATTGCTTAGGGCTGTATACATGCCATGTCCGTGATGCTTTGCTTTTTGGCAGTTTTAACTTAGGTTGCAGAGTTTGACAAGTGGCAGTGCCTGTCAAATTCACCCATTGAGATAAATAGGGCCGCACCACAGCCATGAACCAAACCTTTGGCTAGCAGTTGAAGTGCAGTTCTACAATGTAAAAGTGCCACTCTGTAATTTTAAAAAGTAACAAACAAAAAACAGGCATCAGAAGGTGGCAATAGCAATTCTTGAACACCTTACAGCTGCTGCTATACTGCTCTTTGAGGAACAATCCACTGTAGATCACATTTCAGAACACTTTCAACTGTGTCATCCAAACTAAAAAAAAATTATATAATTTATATTTATTAAATATTTACAGAATTATATATTATTATTTATCATTATTTATAATGGATGAAGAGTATTATTTAGCTGACATTTTAATGAATAAAATAATATACAATAGTAAATATATATTTTAATTCATTTACCTTGAATGTACAGTATTTTTTTGGTTTTGTTTTTTGTTTTTGTTTAACTATGATAGTTCTGCTTTAAAGACTTAGATTTAACTGCTAGCCTTGTTTAAATTTTCAACTGTATTGCAAAAAAAAAAAATCCTGCTCCATCACCTTAAATGTTCTGTATTGTGTTCCAGACTGGATGAAGTGAGCTTTGTACATTTTCTACTTTACAAGATTCTACGGTGTCAGAGCAAGCTTAATCAGTACTGTCTTTACAGATATTGAACAACTAGATCAGCACTTCACATTGACTTACCTATTTAAGCAATTATAGCAAATATATTGTGCTTATATTTCATGAGTTTCAGACTGAAGAAACAAATGTTTTTGTTTGGTCTTCCAATATTAGCGTGAAAGCAGGAACATCTTTGTTAATGTTTTGGTAAATAGAAATACGGCTAGGCATTTTTATTCAAATTGGTTTTCCAGCTGTTTTCACTTGGAGCTTGATTGAGAGAGATGGATAAGCCTGGGAGTACGGCTTTGTGTGTTTCTGCTGAACTAAATAATAATGTAAAATAAATTCTATGTGGAAGGTAAACAAATTAAAGTGCTTACACTTTATCATTTGAATCACCATGGTATTTTACACAAAAATATAATTCAATATAATGTGAATATACTATACATGTTGTTGGCTACAGTTTGCCATACTGCAGTGTTGATATTTTTCAGTACTTTACAGAGATTTTACAATATAAAGAGTGTTAAAGCTGATTTTACAGTATGTGGTATAGAATAGAGGAGGATTGAACCAAAAAAGAACATTATTCACTATAGTAGTTAAGATTCAATACGTAAAGTAAATGTGCCTTGTGAGAAACACAGGGGCTGCCGATACTGACCTTCTTCTTAAAATACTAGTTGCATGGCTGTTAAATTTAAATGCTAGCTTTAGTATTTTTTTTATTCACTGACCTGGAAAAAGTCAGAAAAATCAGAAATTTCTAATTACATACTTCTTCTGCATCAAAAACTCAAAGTATTAAATCAGAAAGGTCAGCATGACAGCTAAGCAACTAGAATTATCAGTAGAGGTCAGCAATGATAGCCTCCATTTTGATTATGATGTTTTATTTTTAAAGCAACCCTGTAACTATAGCAAATATTTTTTAATAAAGCTATTACTGTAAAGAAGTCTGTAAATACTAACTTTTCTTGCTGCCTGTGTTTCCAAATGCTGCTCCTGTCCTGAGAAAGTCCACATAGAAACTGACACTTTCCATGCAACTCCAACTGGTCCCATACAGCAGGGCCGCTGATAGGGGAGGACCACCGATCCTCCAGAAGGGGGCCTGGACAGGGAGGGGGATTGGTGCGGCACAGCTAGGGGGGAAAATACAGGAATGATGCACATTGCTGCTCTCTCCCTGCAGCAGCTGAAAGCAGGTTTCTTCCCTCTCCTTCCCACTGGCTTTAACTGCCTCCCGCCTGCCATATATTAAAATGACGGACTCAAGGCAGGTTACTCGTTCTGGGAGGACGTCATATGACGTCCTCCCATTCTAACCGCGCATGTGTGGCTCCAGGAGTGCACAGCGTGGCGATCGGCGGTGCACTGTGTCCCTCGGACACAGTGGATCACAGATCAAGGGAAAGAGCCGAAGATGTCGGCTCGCTCATGTGATCAGCTGTGTCCAATCACAGCTGATCACATGTAAACAGGGAAATGCCAGTTATCTGCTTTTCTCTCCTCACAAGCTGTCACCTCGTGAGGAGAGGAGAGCCGGTAATCGGCATTCCTCGGAGGGGACATGTACACAGATCATCAGAGCACTGATGATCAGTGTGCCCTGATAATCTGTGTAGCCCCAGCAGTGCCACCTGTCAGTATCCATCAGTGCCAGCTGTCAGTGCTTATCCATGCCACCTGCCAGTGCTCATCAGTGCCACATTTCAGTGCTCATCAGTGCCATATCAGTGCCCATCTGAGCTTCCTTTCAGTGTCACCCATCAGTGCCAGTAAGTGCCACCTATCAGTGCTGCCAATCAGTGCCACCTGTCACTGCTGCCAATCAGTGCCACCTATCAGTGCCAGTCAGTGCCACCTATCAGTGTGCATCAGTGCAGCCTATCAGTGCCCGTCAGTGCTGCCTATCAGTGCCACCTAACAGTGCCAGTCTGTGCCACCTAACAGTGCCAGTCTGTGCCGCCTATCAGTGCCATATATGAGTGCTGCCTTTCAGTGCCCATCAGTGATGCCTGTCAATGCACATCAGTGCCACCTACCAGTGCCTCCTCATCAGTGCCACCTATCAGTGTCCATCAGTGCAGCCTATCAGTGCCCATCACTACAGCCTCATTAGCGCACATCAATTAAGGAGAAAAATCACTTATTTACAAAATTGTATAACAAAAACTAAAAAAAAAAAATTTTTTTTCAAAATGTTCAGTGGTTTTTGGTTTAAGAAAAAATAAAAAACCCAGAGGTGATTAAATACCACCAAATTAAAGCTCTGTCACACAAAAAAATGATACAAATTTCTTATGGGTACAGTGTTGCATGACCACGCAATTGTCATTCAAAGTGTGACAGCGCTGAAAGCTGGAAATTGGCCTGGCCAGGAAGGGGGTATAAGTGCCCTGTAGGCTAGTGGTTAAGCTGCTAGAGAGAGACACACACACACAGTGCAGTTCCTATAATTTCCCCCACTCTGCTGATCCCCCTTATGTGCTTCCTTGTGTGACTGACCCCCCCCCCCCCCCAAAGCTCCACTGGCTGCCGACTTTCCTCTCCCGCCAGGTGCTGAATGGAAACAGTGAGTGATCAGTACTGTTCAACCTCTGTCTTCTGCTCATTCATCTTCAATGCTGATACTGTAGGGAAAGGAATTGGAGACTCAGTGTCCTCAATTCCTTTCTCTGTCCCAAAGACGAGATGTCAGGGGTCTGTTTAGACCTGTGATATTTCACCTAAGTCCCCCCAACAGCGTTGAAAAAAACAATGTAAAAAATAATTTTAAAAAATGTTTAAAAAATAACAAAGATGTTAAAAAATAATTTTTTTTAAATGTAAAAAACTGTTTAAAAAAATGAAAGGTTCATTTACGTGGGTTCTATGGACCATACAGTGTGAATGATGAGCAATGTGTTGCCATCTGTTACTCTAAAGCAGGAGTCTCTAAACTATGGACCTACAGGTGTTGAGGAACTGCAAGTCCCATGAGGCCTTGCAAGACCCTGACAGCCACAGGCAAGACTCCCAGAGGCAGAAGCATGATGGGACTTGTAGTACTTCAACAGCTGGAGGTCCATAGTTTGGAGACCCTTGCTCTAAAGGATGCAGCGGCTGCATGAACTCAGCTGTAGGTCCTAATTTGATTAGTGTGCAGGTGTGGGTGAGTGGCCCTGAATGCGTATTGTTTGTTTGGGACCGTACACTTGCACCTGTGCAGGGCCTTGTGATTTCTAACAGCAGCCTTGCCCAGGAGATCAACACTTACAGGAATCACAAAGCAGAACATTTCTCAGGAACAGAGCAGTGTTCAGTCGGCACAGATAGCAGATAAGGTATTTACAGATTTCTTTTACCTGTAAAGCATCCTTTTTAAGAGGGCCAGGGTTACTTTAAGATAAAAATACCTGAAGATGTCTACTGAGGATCACTTCTTTGTTCAGTGAAAATCATATGCCCAAATATTTATTCATTTTCGTTAAAGCATCACACACTGTGTTGAGGTCACTACGCAGGTCTTGGACAACATTTTCAATGCTCCTGGTGTCCTTAAGGATTTCCACACTCTGAGTATAAGGATTGAAGTAAACTGAGAAGGGACGGTTGATTGACTTGGCAAACTCTCTAAATAATTAAAAGACAGAAAAAAGCAAGTAAGAATAGTACCACTGGTTATGATCTATTTTTTTTTTTTGGTTTCTGTCTTTTTTCTTAACAACTAAATGTACCTCATCTTTTCCTTGGCTTCATCAAAGCTTTCTGACACAAAGTACAAATCCTGAAAGGTAGTGATAAGACATTCTTGCAAGCAAGTTGTCTTTGGATCAAACGTTTTCACAGTAGCTTTGTCAGACAAGGCATGCTGTAAGAAAAAAAAAAAACACAACACCTTTTTAAGAAGTGCTTAAAGATATAAAGGCAAACAATTCTTACAAGTTATTTGCTGTAGGTTTGCATACATTCTTATAAGTTGAACACACATTGTAAAAATTTAAATTTAAGCATTTAATTAATTTAAAAAAAATTAGCTGGAAGAAATATTTGGGTGTAGAATGCCCATAAATCCAGAAAAGTGTAAGAAAAAAATGAATTATTTCTAATTGTTATTAATAATGTTGTGCATGCATAAAATATTATGAAAGGTTGTGTACTATGCATGATTCTGAGCAGAACAGATAAACAGCATAACAAAGACAGGAGCTATCAGGGATATTAAACACATTTTTTCTACATGTAACAGATTATATATGAATCAGAGCTGAACAAAAGTGTGTCAAGCATTCCATTTAATCAATATTATACCTGTGTATTCAGAACTCTAACCCAAGCTCAAAGCAAATACTGTATTTAAATTACTATTTAATGGAACTCCAGGCAGATATAAAAGATGTAAGGGCTCATTTCCACTTGCAATTGGAGGGTGGTAAAAAACATACTGTTGAGCCATGCTTTTACTGTCTATCAGCAGCTCCTACTTAAAGAATATGTTAACCCAACATTTCATATTCTTGATACACTATATTACCAAAAGTATTCGGACGCCTGCCTTTACAAGCACATGAACTTTAATGGCATCTCAGTCTTAGTCCATAAGGTTCAATATTGAGTTGGCCCACCTTTGCAGCTATAACAGCTTCAAATCTTCTGGGCTGGCTGTCCACAAGGTTTAGGAGTGTGTCTATGAGAATGTTTGACCATTCTTCCAGAAGTGCATTTGTAAGATCAGGCACTGATGTCGGATGCGTAGGCCTAGCTCGCTGTCTACACTCTAATTCATCCCAAAGGTGTTCTATCGGGTTGAGGTCAGGACTCTGTGCAGGCCAGTCAAGTTCCTCCACCCCATCTATGTCTTTATGGACCTTGCTTTGTGCACTGGCGTGCAGTCATGTAGGAACAGGAAGGGGCCATCCCCAAACTCTTCCCACAATGTTGGGAGCATGAAATTATCCAAAATGTCTTGGTATGCTGACACCTTAAGAGTTCCCTTCACTGGAACTAAGGGGCCAAGTCCAACCCCTGAAACACAACTCCACATCATAATCCCCCCTCCACCAAACTTTACACTTGGCACAATGCAGTCAGGAAAGTACTGTTTTATTGGAAACGGCCAGCTAAACTATTGACTCTGTAGACAGTTGGCGACTTCTGCACACTGTGCACTTTAGCATGGCCTATGACTTTGTGGCTGAGTTGCTGTTATTCCCAGTTGCTTCCACTTTGTTATAATACCACTAACAGTTGACCGTGGAATATTTAGTAGCAAGGAAATTAAATGGATGGACTTTTGCACAGGTGGCAACCTATCACGGTACCACACTTCAATTTCCTGAGCGCCTGAGAGTGATCCATTCTTTCACAAATGTTTGTAGAAGCAGTCTGCATGCCTAGGTGCTTTATTTTATACACCTGTGGCCAATGAAGTGACTGGAATACCTGATTCCAATGATTTGGAGGGGTGTCCCAATACTTTTGGCAATATAGTGTATGTGTCTGCTGTACAATGTAATTGTATGAAAAAGTATCTTGTTCTCTTTGTATTGCTTCATTTGTTTGAAATCTCTGCTGTTCCTGCCAGTCCCTCTGCTTTCCTATTAAAAACTGACCGCACTAGGCAGGAGAGCACAGTGTGTTCAGTATTCTAACTGTGCTAAGAACTTAGCCTGCTCTCCTCCAATAATCAGAATTCTGCTGATATACCTGAACAGCCATTTGCTGGGAAGATCAATGTGCTGCTGCTACTTCTCCTACTCCTGCTCTCTAAGATCCTTATGTATTTGAGAACAGAGGGTATGTGACAGGGGCGGACTGACAACTCATGGGGTCCCTGGGCAATAGGGGATCATGGGGCCCCTGTGTCCTTGCCCAAACTCAAAAAAGCCTATGAAAAAGGTACCAGGGGCATCTCATGGGGCCTCCTACTGACCCCGGGCCCTCGGGCAGTGCCCGAGTTTCCAAATGGTCAGTCCGCCCCTGGTATGTGATCACTTATAAAAAAGGAGGAAATGTATTTTTAATATTTTTTATGTATTCACAAATGTTTTAACTTTCATTTCTATTTAAACTGAATGGGATGTTTCACAAGGTGAGGGTTTACATATACTTGAAAAGGCAGGGAAAAGAGATTTACAAGTGAATGTGACCACACTGCAACCGTGTGCATCATAGTGCATCCAAACAAGATCAGATAATCACTCACTGTGTGAACAGTAACAAATAGCTGCAGCCACTGGCATCTTGTCATTGCACTTTATGGGCCCGGCAGCCACAGGTATCCACACACAACTGTCAATCACAGCCACAGGATCAGTTGATACTTGCCGCTGGGATTCACAGCATGGCTAAATGCCATACAAATGCAGTCTAACAGAAGAGGGGAAAGTGACAGAGGGATCAGCTTGCCAGTGTGCTGCTTTTCCTTTCACTGTCTGCTCATAGGGTAAGAGGGGAGGAAACCTGTGTTACAGATTGGCATCAGAGACAAATTAGGTCTGCTGCACTGCCAGGTAGGGCTGTGTGGTTTAGCAGAGCTATGTATATCTCAAACCTGAATGGACTTAGAATGCATGAAAGTAAAAAACCTTCAGCCTTTACAAACACTTTAACTATGATTTGAAAAGCATAGTTAAAGTGGTTGTAAAGGCTACATCGAGAGAGAGATCGAGAGGGTGCACAGCAGATCGCTGGAGTGAGAGGGGGCTCAGGTGAGTATTGGGGGGGCAGCAAACATAAGGTTTTTTGAACTTCATGCACAGAAGACATGAAGCTAAAAAAACTTTGGGGTTTACAACCACTTTAACTATGATTTGAAAAAGAATCACATGGATTTTTATTTACAGTTGGCATAGATACTTGAATCAGTAATTATGTTGTCCTCCTGTGTACAACAACAGACTGGCAAATGTGGTTGGGAACACACTTGGACAGTCAGGGTTCTTTTGCTCTGTACAATGCTGTTAAGCTGGCCATAAACTTGTAGATGTCCAAGCAAAAATTTGTAAGAAATGTATACATTTTATTTACTTTTAGTGTTTGATTTTGGAATGAATAGGCTTTACTAAACAAAAACCACATTGACTCTTAACAATAAGTTTATTTGAGAAATATGTTCCATCCTGCTCCTTTGCATTTTCTTGTCAGTTGAAAACAAAAGCTGATTTGGCCGCATTAGCAATTTAGAAAATTGAGTGAACTTTCTTAAAATGAAACATTTTCAACAAAATTTTATAACTGCTTGGCCAGCTTTAATCTACCAGCGGGTGGTGGGGTAATGGGGGGGGGGCAGAGAAAATGAACTTGAGCAGCCATTTTTCTTATAGACACTTATCAGATAGGTGAGGACCTTAACCATGATTACAGGACAGAAAGTGTGTTGAACTGTATTCAGGTCATATACCAGGGATTCTATTATGGTTTCAGCTCCAGAAACGAGTTAAAATTAAAATTAGACAATCTGAATATTCAGTCTATAATAATTATAATTGAGCAGGTTTATTTATATTAGATTTTTCAAACCTATTAAAAGTTTATGGGTGAGCGAGCTTGGGTGTGCTTCATGTGTCATCTGTTGAACCCCAGGATCAGAAAATTGCAATTTTTTTTAAATTGCAAAAAATAGCTAAAAGCTAAAACCCCCAACTTGGAAATTGGCTACTGGCACAACAGTTTGATGGTACAGTTTGTAGGCTCTCTTTTTCACAGTACCACACCATAGAGCACACAAAAACACTTCAAAACCAAAACACCACATTCAGAAAACCACCTCCTATCCCCATATCCCCCCATTATTCCCAAAATATTTTAAAGTGAGCAAACTATGAGCACAAATTTAAAGAGGTCGATAGTGTGGGCTCTTACGATATCTGCTGTCAACAGAACTGTTGTGGTCTGCAGCCTTTGATTACAGTTCATCAGCAATGATAAATGTATCAATCATTTGGGTACCACATAGAAAACAATGTCTTATAGTCATCCCCCTGTACAGCATCTGAATGCCAACTTGATAAAGTCAGTGGTTTTACAGCTGCTCCCAAACCAGCTTCTTCATGGCCTACTAAGTAAATTTGCTGGTGGTTGGAAAGGATGCAGAGTGGGGCACATTGCTGATAAGATGGGTAAGGTGGTGACCATGCAGTCACCTGCACACATTTCTCATCACTGCCTGCATCCTTTGACTTGTTAAAATAAGGAACCCCCCAAGTACCTCAGAGCATATGCAATGTCCCAGACAAAATGCTGCCATGTTGGTATGAAGGAACAGGAGCTACACTGGATCAAAGGTTTTGCCAGTTCTTCAGGGGTAAGCCAAGAATTGGCTGACCTAATGCCACCTTTGTTCCTGGCAAGGTCATATGTGACAATGGCACCAAACTGCTCGCTGCCCTACAGCATGGAATGTTCACATATATATTTTCCCTAGCCCTTAAACTTGGTGTTCCTGATCAAGTAGGCTTCCTTCTGTGGCAGGCCAGAGTGGTATCTAGATAGCGATACCCAGCAAGTGTTTTTCCTGACCAAAATGCAGTAGCAACACAAGCTGCTTGACATACACAAGATATGTGGTATCTAGACAGCAATACCCAGCAAGTATTTTTCCTGACCAAAATGCAGTAGCAACACAAGCTGCTTGACATACACTAGATATGCAATACAGCCACATGCTGAAATCGTAACATTGACCATGTTGCAGCAGCTGCACCAGCAGCAGTGGACATTTAATTTGTATCTGTGAAAGACAGGAAGAGGACAGGTTCTTGGGAGCTGAGGTTCTTTTCAAAATATCAGTGGCTCCTGATTCAGGATATGTGCAAAATCTTTTCACTATTCAAAGAGATGATTGGAATGGTGAGACTCAACGAGGTGGGG